TGAAAAAAAAGAGAGGTACTTCAACCAATAAATGATGAACTATAGCAGCACCGTGGTGAGGAAATGTGGCCCAGGAGAACAGTTAGGCAGCTCAAAAGAGAAGGTGGAAACAGGTGCTGTGGTTGCCTCCCCAACCGCCATATCACACCCGTGATTAATCTCAGCCATCAGGGTAATTCCAAACCCCTTTCTCAGTGACTCGCTTAGCAGTGGGCATGTTACCCAATTCTAGCCAATGAGATATAAAGGTGTGGGGACAGGCAAAGTGTTTGAGGAATTCGGTGCTGCCACAAAAGGATAAAAGCTGTAAGTATGAGCCAGGAGAGTAGACAACATAAAGAGTATATGAGAAAGATCTGGTGATAAAACATAGACTGGAATGAAGACTAGAAAATGGGGAGGCTAGTCCAGCAGTGGTGGACACACCTTTAATCCCAGCGCGCGCGCGGGGGGGGGGGGGGGGGGGGGAGGACCGGGGCAGAAACAGGCAGACCTCTGTTTGAGTTTGAGGCTAGCCTGATCTACAGAGTTCTAAAACAGCCAGGGCTACATAGAGAAGAGAGAGAGACAGAGACAGAGAGAGACAGAGAGACAGAAGAAAAGCTGGAGGCAGAGTACAGATAATGTCATCACTGCAGTACAGTCAGGAAGGGGTTAACAAGGCCCTGCATGTGAGCAGCAGCTGTGGACAGCTGTGAAGTCATGACAATTAAATTTCCTATGCCGATTAGAGTTTGAAACTGCACCTTAAATTCACGTGACAGTTAGCACTTGTTTTCTTAAGCCTAAAGGCAAGGAACCGTGCAACAGTTATTTAACAAGCAGTATGCGAAATATTGTTAGGATTGGAGCGAGGACTTAAAAGGATCATTGAGAACATGGGCTCCTGCTGGCCTTTTATACTCTTTTCTTGGTTTTGGTCACACAGAAAAGATAAGAAGTTTTTGTTTTTATTTGGGGATAGAAGCTAAGTTTAGTCTGCGCATTTGAATCAAAGAATACCAAGTAATCATGTTGTGTTTTTAAAACCCTTAGTGTACATTTTTCTTCCCTAAATCTCTGAGATTCTGAATCAGGGAAACTCTCCGAGTAGCTAGAATTATCTTCCTTCTTCAAAACTGACTTGTTTATTCTTGTGTGTTGATGTTAAGACTATAGTAACAAATTATAAGGAGATTAATTTTCTAAGAAATCAAAGATTGTTACTGCTACAGTTTGATTATGTGACCTCCCCAAATCTCGCTCACCAGCCCACAGAGCTGCTGGGGCAGGCAGTATCTTTAGAGGCCTAGAAGCCAGTCACTGGGGATGTCACCCTTGAAGGGGACCCACGAATCCTGACCCCCTTCTGTCTCCCAGCCATTATGAAATGGACAGTCTCCTTACCACTTGCCCCCCATCATACAAACATGTACCAACAAGAAAGGCCCAAGAGCTAAGACCTGCAAGACAAGGACGACAAGTCCAAGCACACTCCCCACCACCACCGTTTGCAAAACTGATTACCTCAGGTATTCTGTCACCCTGGTGGGAAGGTGACCCAGTGACACTTCACTGAGTGACTCTCAGGAGGGCTGACTTTGTTTTTAACTCACTGAGTAATACTGTTTCTCAGGAGTTTGCGTCTCGGTGTTAGGTGACTAATTTATCCCCTTCTCACAGCAGTGGCAACCTTCTAGTTTGTACCATAAAGTCACATTCGTGGGTTGGTTTTTTTTTTCCCCCTTTACAATCACAGCCACAATACTGGTTCCTCATGTTCAACATTAAGTCACCCTATAATTGGGGAGGGCAGAGGGGGAAAGAAAGGAGCTGTAAGAGGTGGGGAGGGAAGACCAGCAAGGAACAGCTTCAACCAAACAAGGCTAATGATCTGAATTCAATTCCCAGATGCCATCATGGAAGCAGAGAACCAAATCCCAAGAGTTCTCCTCTGACATCTTCACATATACCATGATATGCATGCAGAAGCATAGGTACCTGAACACACAAACACACCGAGATACAGAAACACACACAAATTTGACTTTTTTATTGAAAAAAAATGTTTTTCATCCAATATATTCTGATCATGCTTTTTCTCCTCCCCCAGGTCTTCCCAGATCCTGCCTACCTCCTCATTCACCCACTTCCACACCTTTTTTCTCTCTCTCTTGGTTTTTCAAGACAGGTTTTCTCTGTGTTGGCTGTCCTCGAACTCACTCTGTAGGCAGGGCTGACCTTGAACTCATGGAGATCCACCTGCCTCTGCCTGCCAAATGCTGGGATTAAAGATGGGGACTGTCACCACTTGGCCACACCCTTTTTCAAACAAAAGACCCAAACAGATAAAGAGAAACAGCACACATACCCCCCCCAAAAAAAAAACTGAAACCAAAATATAGAAACAAAAAGCCAGAAAAACAAAATATGCCTAACCAAAGCAATCTGAGACACAAAGTGTACAAAATACAAAAACATCAGCGATTTTATTTAGTGGTCCTACTGCTGGGCATGGGGCCCACCCTGAAGTACAGTTAACATACCCAGTGAGGCTCTATTGAAGAAAACTAATTAGGTATCAAGGATAACCAAGTTTTTTGGTTAGAGGTCGGAGCCCACGGGCGCACATACCCCCACACACACATTAGATTCTTTAAAATGGGTCATCCCCATAACCAATTGCACATTTCACCATGTATCAGCTGTCAGGTTTCTCACAAGCTTCTAACGACTCCACTTCATACAACTTGTTGGGACTGCGATCTTTTTTTATGTCACACTGTGCCTTACTATCACTTTGACAGCTCCTTAAATCATACACAAACCCCAACTTCAGGTTCTCTCTCAGTGAAAGGACTATACACCCAGTCGATAAAAATCAAAGCAAAAAAAGCAATCTCTCCCCAAAAGCAGTCCCAGCCCTTGAAAATCTCTTGGGGCTGTTTGGTCTTTGGCTTTAATTTACATGGGCTTTGTTTTGTTCTGTTTATAAGGAAGAAGTTGGTAGCATTCATAAAATATTTTCGCACGTGTGGGACATGAGATAAGCTTGCAGTATTCCTCCACTGAATGAAGGCAGAAATTAAGATACAAATGCGCTTGACTATGAGACAGAGTGAAATCCCTGGCCCAACCCTGATGGTTCCCAGCCCCAACCCTTGACGGCTCATTGTGTTTTATTCCCCGCTGAGAATTTCCCAGGGGACAGAAATGGCCTCAGAAGGACGATCATAAAAATACATGCTATGGCAACACACTGGCAGCCGCCTTGACTCCAGAAACAAAATGAAGCTCTCCATAAAAGCAGTGCCCTCAAATCCCTTTAATATCTGTTCAAAATAAAAGCACATACCCCAAGCTTAGGTTTATTCACAACTTGTCCCTGTGAGCATCTCTGCTGACATGTGCACAGGAAAACACACATAGAAAATTCCCAACAGATGAGATGAAAATAATATGGAGTACAGTATTCCTGCTCTCCATGAATGAGTCAGTGCACATCCTATACGCATACCCAACCTAAATTTCTTCCATCACTCTTTCGTTGGGGTTTATGGTTCACTTACACACTGCCATGGAACTCAGAGAATTGGCAAAACCTGAAAATATCAGCAATAGTACTCTAAACCCCACATAAAAATAACCGCCAACATTCTGTGCAGGAACAACTATGCTTAGGTGAGAAATCATCCTTGTAAAGATTTATCAACGAGAGGCTAGTCTCACCCAGGAGCTGCAGAATCCCTCTACCTGGCACCAGCTTTCAGGCGTACAGTACCCACAATGCATTGCTCTTGTCAGAGAGCTGGAGGCCTGAGCAGGGACAATGTGGAGGCTGGATGCTTCTAGAAACAGACTGCTCTATTCAAATCCACTGCCTCCCCCATGTTAATTTCCATAAACCATCTTTGAGTCTGGGTCTTAGATTGCTTAACTCTTAAAAGAAAATAAAAATATACAGTTAAAACTTCAAAGAAGGTGGTGAAAGTGTTAAGTTGTAAAAAGTTATATAAATGTAAGAAATAAAAGTTTCTACTTATCACCTCTTTAAAAAGTAAACTAAAAGATAATTATTACAAAAGAACATATACTCTGTACAATTTAAAATGTTTTTCATGTTTCAGACTGTGCAACATGCAGGTTAATCACCTCGATTCCAAGTCCCAACTCTGCAGGGCACACCCTGGATTAACTGACACCTGTTCCCTCCTGTGGACTCTGTAGCAACTGAAATGTATTTGGGAGGGGGGTGGTATTGGGGTGGATAGATTATTATAGGTATCCATATTTGTATACACATATGTACACACACACACACACCCATCCCAGAGGTGGAAGTGAACTGGACAGCCCTGCTGAAGTTAGGAGGCAGGGGTCTCCTGAGATCACAGAATTCTCTTCTGCCTCTAGGGGGCCCCAGACAGTCCTTTGAGCTCCCAGGCACAGCAGAAGGACTGAGCAACTAAATGCCTGTCCCTGCCGCTTGGGTTGCTCAGTCCTTCTGCTGTGCCTGGGAGCTCAAAGGACTGTCTGGGGCCCCCTAGCATGGGATAAATCCGGACTAGCTGAACATAGGGGACAATGAGGACTACTGAGAACTCAAGAACAATCGCAGTGGATTTTTGATCCTACTTCACGTACTGGCTTTGGGGGAGCCTAGGCAGTTTGGATGCTCACCTTACTAGACCTGGATAGAGGTGGGCGGTCCTTGGGCTTCCCACAGGTCAGGGAACCCTGATTGCTCTTCTGAGCAGATGAGGGAGGGGGACTTGATCGGGGGAGGGGGAGGGAAATGGGAAGCGGTTGTGGGGAGGAGGCAGAAATCCTTAATAAATAAAAAAAAAAAAGAAAACAAAAAAAAAAAGGACTGAGCAACTAGTTGCTTCAGCCGTGGTGAAGGGTGTAAGAGTTACACTCTGAAAGCTCTCGGGCCCTACAACCCAGTCTAAAGTCCTTCGTGTCCAGGAGCCACAGCTGTCCTTTATGGATTAAGTTATTGACGATGATTTACACAAATATTTTTTAAAGCTTCAAAATTTATTGCTGTACATTTCCTCATAGCATTCACTATGGAAATAGTGCAAATATTTATTTTGAACTCTATCGCATTTGAAAGATCACAAAGCTTTAGATATCTTTTGCAATCATTTATGAAGATCTATATTAAACTTGTATTATTTTTAAAATTTAAACATTATAACATTCAAAGAGATTATATAATGCTTTGTAAAGGAAAAAAATTTCTGGAAGCCATTGGGCACTCTGTTTTGATAAAACTTGTTTTCTACCTGCATGAGTCTTTTACTCACACACAAACTCAGTCAACAAATCCTTACCGACAAGCACATTCCAGGCTTTGTCCAAGGCCCTGGGGGGCTTAAGATGGAAAGACACCAGCTCTGCTTTTACTTTGATTACAGATCATACTAGAGTCGGACATGCATAACATTTTTTACAATACAATAAAGTGCCTCCGCGGAGGTATTTACAAAATACAGTGAGAACTCAGACAAGAAGAAGAGCATCTGCCTGGAGAAATTGGGGCAACAGCAGGACGAGGTCGCCACTGAGCTGACACTTATCCGTGAGCAGGAACTTGCCATGTTAGACAGGTAGGCAGGGGTAACAGGGGTACAGACACTGAGGCCCAGCAGAACTTCAAGGGAGAAATGATGTGGCTTTTCTTGAAGGGAAAGGCAATGGGGACAGCAGCAGGGCGAGGCTGACTACGTGCAATAGGCTAAGGGCTGGGGCTGTACCAGGAAACAGCCTTGCTCTCCTGGAGCTTACATTCTACTAAAGAGACACAGAATCAACAAATCAAACAGGTTTTAGAATTCTATACAGAGAAATGGGGTACTGAAAACAGAGCTACGAAGACAGTCAGGGTTACCGACAAATGCCTCTTGAAAGTAACAGGGAGGACGGTGACAGCATTCTCCCGAGTGTGCCTGCTAAGTGCCAGGCACTGTACCAAGCACCTGGCCAACAGCATCTGGCGGAATCCTCACAACTCTATGAGGTAGGTATTGTTGTTATTCCTGTATCACCGAGGAGGGAAGAACTCAAGGAGACTGAGGGCCCTGACAGGCTCTCTAACTGCAAAGTTCCTGCTCTGACACTTGAACCTGCATTTAAAGGCATGAGGAATTCTAAGCAGGGATCACCTCTGCTTCTCTGGAGACAAAAGTGGGGGAATAGAGAGAAGAAGGGACAGGGAACAGCTGGAAAGGGGAAAAGCTATTCAAAAGTCCAAAGGGAGGGAAGAAGGTTCCTGTGAACTTAGTGGTTGTGGAGGGAAGGATGTGAGGAGTGTGGCTACCTCAACACTTGTAACAGGATTAAGATGCTGCAAGCAGGGGAATGAGCAACATCCAACATCGTCCCTGTATCTCTGTCTTATCCAGCTGAAGTTGATTTTGAGCCAAGTTGAAGAATCCAAGATGATGGCGGTTTCTGATAAAATGACGAATTTAATTTCAGACAAGTCCTGTGGGTATACTGGAAACATCTCAGCCTCATGCGATGGTCACTAAGACACCGCTTTGTAATGGCTTTTACACCTTGTGTCTACCTGAGCGAAGGACACAGGGAGTAACTACTGAAGCTTTGTGGTATGGTCACTGTCAGTTTGCTTCAAAAGTCTCTTTACAGAAGTTTGCATGGTGGGTTAGATTCTGTTGTAAAAAGAATATATGATTGCCAAAACGTGATCTCAAGACATAGCTGTATGTAAAGAGTTGGGGTTTTGGGTAGGAGAAGAACAGCTTTTGGAAAGCCATTCCAATAGTAACACTAGCTCTTTAAGAAATATCAGTGTTAACTCCAACATTCTTAGCCTGAGTCACTCTGATGGCCGCTAGCTGGGATCCTCTGGCTACAATCCTCCCAGAGCTGGCAAGTCTGCCATTCATCTACCAGCAGCGATGTTTCCAGAAAATGGGGGCCTAAGGCTCAGACATATAAATTTAGTAACCAGAAATTCCAAAAAGTATTGTTACAGTTTGGCAATAAAGTTCCAAAACCAGAGCAGCCCAAACACCCAGTTGGAAAGCTTTGGCAATCCTGCTGCTCCATTCTCCCCTGGGGATGAACGGGTGCAGGTGACACAGATGCACAGGTGGTCACACCTTGACTACATTACTTCAGGTCTAATTTTATTGTGTTTTGGTGATGGTGGTTTTTTGGTGCTGGGATCTGAACGTAGGGACTCATGCATGTTTAACATGAGTGCTCATTTAAAGTGAACATAAATACACAAATACATCAACTATCCCTATAAAGCAACCTCCATTGTGCCTTCATTTTTCACAATTTCCTTATAGCCACTCCCTCTTGTCTTTGGCTCAGATCAATTTAGGTATGTTTTAATTTAAAAACTCACTGAATAATTTAATGCCAGTTTTAATAAATAAATATCAAGCTATTTCAGTGGTAATAAAGTCAGGCTTCAAACAAAAGAAAATAATTAATACTTTGGTCAGATACTGATTAGTAAAGCTTCACACTCCGGCTCATTGCGCAAAGGATCTGAAGTGCTCTGCAGACTCAGGAAGCTACCGGGCAGCACCCACAGGGGGCCTTGTATAGCTAACTTGTGTCACAGGAAGAACGAGCCTTACTTTTGTAGCACTATTCAAAGTCCTAGTCACAGGCAAGAGAAGAAAAGAAGAAAACTGGATGGCAGGAGACAATGTGAAGCTTCTGGCGAGACAATCCCTACAGAGAGAAGCCTGTAGGTGCACTGCAATACACCAGCTCCATTTCCAAGCTAAGGCGAGGGTCTAAGTTGAGCATGGATCAGGAGTGCTATCCGGGTCTATTATAGTGTGTATTCTTTAACAGAAAAAGTTCCAATCAGTCTGTGAATATAATCATTTATTTGTCTTTACAGTGATGATGGAAGAATGTACAGGTATCTTCTTTCAATAAAGTATAAAAATCTGCTTATATACAGTGAAGTCATAATAATCTTTAATTGGGAAACTTATTTGGTACTCCTGATCTGTTTATATTAAAACTGTGGGGAACAAATATCTCACGTAAGTGCTACATTTCCAGTAGACCGCACCTGGCATCAGAAGCTCCACTTCATTTTAAGGGTCCTGCGTGCTATTATAAAAGACTAATTTTAAGTCCTAGGACTCAAAATAAACATCATTTGGAATAATAGATATATACATCAAAAATACATCTAGAAAGGCATTGGTTAGTGCTATTAAAAAGCTCTATGTGCTCAGGTACACTGTTTTCTTACAGGCGGAACCCGGTGGAAATGTTTTCAATCCGTTTCTAGCAATTTGCTCTTGGGGACGGTCAGTTGAAAGTTACCTGTGGAGACAGAAGAACAAAGATTTCTTAGGCGAAAGGTCAGTAAGACTCACTGAGAATCCCATCTGTACTGGGCTCCAGGACTGGATGGGGATGGCTGGAGACCGGAAGTCACCGGATCCTTTATACTCCACTATGTCATCCTGGTGACTTTATACCCAGTTCACTGCCATACATATTACTGCTTATACAATATTTCTGGTCTATAATTAGCAAAACCAGCAGAAAAAGGAAACTTACAGGGCACATAAATAAAACATCCTAGCAGATATCAGCCAAACACAAACATATTTCTGAGAAAAATCTACCTAATAATGATTTCTTGTGCTTCCCAGTGGTTGACTTGACTTTACAGCATTTGTGGCCAAACCTGAGATGACTGCGCAGCTGCAAACTCACAGCCGCATGTTTCACATGCTTGTCACTGTCTCCTTCCCACAATCGCTCCTAAAACGTCTGATAACCTGGGGACCTATCTATAAGTACACAATGTAAGTAATACAAAAGATCCTGGCATGTTGCTTAACTAAATAAATAACCTAAGTAAACAAATGTGTGTCATCCTTGCATATATAGGATATTAGGGAGAGCAGCAACATGAGAAGGCCAGCGTGCCCAGGAAACCAAATCTCAGAAGACTTCATCTGTGATGAGCCAAGTGAAGCTAGCCAGCCTTGCCTGTTATCTAGCTATAAGCTAGAGCCCCACCTCTTTTACACATGAGGATGAACATCTAAGCAGGCTGTATAATCCAGGTTCTTAAGAACTTTGTATGCATAGACTAAACAAGTAGGTCATGTGAATGTAATTTTAATGTTTAAGAAGTATTCTAAGTTTTCCACAAGCTACAAGTCTAATGGTCTGGTCTAACAATGTCTTCTTGAGGTCAGAATATAATATACATAAGTCCATGGTTATTGAACATATGAAATAATGGTCATTTTTAAGGCTTAATTAAAATTCAATCATTCTGCAGTACTAATGAGAGACGCACACTGTCTGAGGCAATGAACGGGTGCCAGCTCCTGTCCACCTGCCTGATAATATGAGCGGTCTGAGTGCTGCCTGAAGAACAATCTAGAAGACAATCACCAAGGAAGCAGAGGTCTAGTTATGTCTCAGCTACAGGGCTCTGCCTGTCCGTGTTGATCTCAGGAGTAAATGACAAAAGAGAGGAAAACAAAACAAACAAACAAAAGCCAAACTGACAGAGAGATGTGCCACCCCAGATTACATCTTGCCATGATGGCATAAACTATATCATGGGGAACAGCACTCACGCAGACTCCCTCAATGGCTTCAGGGACATTGTGGCTAGGGCCTCAGAGCACAGGAGCCTGCTCTAGATTTCCCTCTCTGAGAGATATAACACACACTGAATGAACACATCGGATTCCTACAGTGTGACCTTTCAGCCTGGAAAACAAAGTGTGAACTGTCTCCATAGTGTCTTCCTAGCCTCAGCGAGTAAATAAACAGTATAAAACACGACTGAACCAGATTCTCCTAGTAAGGACATAAAACATTTAAAACTGGACTAAACTGGATCTAAACTAAACTTCTGGTCAGGAAATGACGTGACTGATGTTTGCTGTCCTGGACATGTAAACAGCAGATATTATATTATATATTGGTTGCAGTGTCATCACAGTACTGGACACTATTAAAATAAGGAGAGGCACTCAAGGAAAGGGAAGGGGACACTAACAACTACACCCATCTTCTCTCAGCTCCCTATCTGTGCTCCTCTGGAGAACAGGACTCCCAGGCAGCTGCTCCAGTGGAAGCCTGATTCTCTCCACTGCTGTCTCAAGCTCACTTCCAATCAGCACCAATCAGGCTGATTCTACCACCAAATATGTATCTCAAATCTACCCTTCCCTGCTTGTGTCTCCTATCACCTTCAGAAAGCTACCACTGTTGCTCACTGGACTACCACAGCAACATCTCAACTGGTCTCCTTGCCTCCAAGTTTTCTCTACTTCAAGCCAAATAAGCAAATATGATCATACCTTCTGCAAGAAGTCCTGACTGACTCACAGGCCTTCCTGATTAGACCTGCTGCCCACACATTGCCCTCCCCCACTCTCTACATTCCAACCTCTCATCTTCTCTCTGAAGAAACAAACCTTCTCTCTGTTAACCCTCTAAGCAAGCCACTTTCCACCTATGTTCCTCAAGACTCAGTTCTACTCGTCCTTTATGACCAAGGTAAAAGATCCTTCCTCAGAGTAACTTTGCTGAGCCTTGGTATCATGTTCTGCTCTGTTGTCTCTCCCTCTGAGATTTGGGTTCAGAGGGAACAAGTCATTGGCATAAGGATGGCAAGAATTAAAACAGATCTTGCCAAAACACAAGTGGGGGCTGGAAAGCAAGATCAAAGCCACAGAGTGTGAGCATTCAACAAAACAGAGCACACACATAAACAGAGCCTACATTTGCATCTTTAAGGAAAATTCATGTTATACTTGTCACCGTTCTGCCTGTTCTGTACCTAACGTGTGGTATGAAGCATCTACCTAACGGGAAAGATTTTGCTCATCTTATTGCTATAATTCTAAGGAGAGCATGCCATCCCTCTGTAGACGAGTGGGGCCAGCCATTCCTCTGAACCCAAGAGTCCCTTCCTCTTTCCTCTGCTTTCTCTCAGAACATCATTGGCATTTTTTCACCACTGATCAAAACCATATGAAGTACACCAAAGATCCCTTGTAGGTAGCTACTGTGGCAAGAATGTCCTCAGAGAATCAGGACAGATGTAATAACTTATGGGTCCTTAAATACAGAGGGGACACATGAAGGACCCATGAGGGAAACGGACTACATTAGAGTGTTGAGCAAGCTACGAAGGGAAACGGCTGCCGGTCTCTGCGCCTGTGTTTGCTGACCTGATCATATTCTTAAGCGTCATCTCCACTGTCCATATCGATGTCTGCCTCCTCCGTGTCAGCAGCCCGGGACAGGATGTCCGCCATCAGTGCTTCTTCCAATTTCTTGCGTACTTGCTGGACTCGCTCTTCCTGTTTCCTTTTCAAAATCAGAAGGAAATGAAACTGAAAATTTGGAAAGTAATAAAATGAAACTACCCTGAGCACCCCCGAAATCACTTAGAAAAGCACACTTGCTTAGACTCCCAAGTCTACCTCTACACATACAAACCAAACACTGCAAGTTTCTCCAGAAAAAAAAAAAATTAAAGAACAGCTAGCTGTCCAAGGGTGGTGATCTCTTGTCTCAAGAGAGTCTGGAAGGAACAGGTGAACTTCAGTGGCCTTTTCCTCAACCTCACGAATTTCAAGTGTGTGAAGATTTGGAATGATGAGTTAAAAATAAGTAAAATAACTTGGAAGCAAAGATATGAGAAGACAATAACACAGAAAAGAAAGGGAGAACAACTTCTTAGGCGAAGCATCAACAGAGACGTGCCAGAGACACAGCAGGCCGGGCTTGCTCAGCATTCTATGGCTGAGTCAGGAAAGAGCATTACTGGGAAGCTAGGTCCACACAGAAGAGTCAGGCCCACTGAAGGCTATGACTGGGGACAGAGATAATCGCTTCTGAGATGAGCCTAGTAGGCCAAGACTATTATCATGACCTTCCCTAGCTTGGTGACAGCAAGGTGATCTCAAAGTGACAATACCTGCACATCATAAAGAAGGTCCTAAACCATTAGAAGAAAAACAAAACCCAGGATAAGAGGCTATTAGAATGCTCTGTGGCTCTGTGAAGTACAGGGGGCAGGGAATGATACAGTTTCCTGGGAAAGTTAAGGAAACAGAAATCCAGAAGCAAGCAAGGAAGCCGGAGTGAAAAATAAGGAGGCAGAGGAAGCAGTGAGTGGGCTCGCTCCAGGGACAGCAGGTCGTGCCCTCCTGTGTGAGGAGACCAGGAATGGTTGGATGGATGCAGAACAGGAGAAGAAGCTGCAGTAACAAGGAAAACCAGGGACTGTACTGGGGGTGGGGGGAACCAAGTGGTTTCCTCCAGTAAGGCAGACAGATGGCAGCAGTGTGCAAACCTGGGAGAGCCAACAGGGAGAGGAAACATGTTTTGAGGACTCCATCAAATCTCTGAGATTAGCCAGCTGTGCAATCCCTTCGGTTCTAACACCCAGGACTGAATGACATTGCATCCAAGGTAAGGAGTAATAAGCACCTTCCAGCAATGAAAATGCTTTACATTTCTTTATTAAAACAACTAGCACAAAGGATTCCTAAGAACAGACTTCCAGTTCCTGAGTGAAGCTTTAGATCGGGCAGGCAGGAGGAAGGCAGTACGGGTCAATCTGACCTCTGTAGTTTCTTCACATCAAATGAAACTGGAGTTCAGCAAATGCTCGTGTAACGGAGCAGGCTCCAGAAGAAAAAAATTGTTCATTTCTTAACATAGTTTGACTCCTCTCTGGCCCAGTAACTTGTAATTTATGCCAAATGACATATAAGTCACATTGGCAGTCTCATCCCTAAAGCCGGAACAGGAGAGACGCCAGAATGATGCATCAAGGAAGACGGGGTGGGGCACACTGCATCTTGTAAAGAAGGCTATCTCGAGCTCTAATGTCTGTTGCTGAGTTTCTTTTACTTTAACCATGACAACAAACAGGCTTGCTGTCGGGGTAGGCAGAATCCTATGACGTTCTCTAGGAATCTCCCGCATCCCATATGTACTCCTTGGGCAATTTCTCCCAGTACAGGTGGGGGATGTTTGTTGACATGGTGAGATATCACTCTATAGTTGGTTACTAATCACAGAATCATTAATTAATCATGAGAAAGCTGAATCTAGTGAACCTAACCCAATACAAAGTGTCCTGAAAGAAAACTGTGAAGGTATAGAGAAGCCACATAGTGGGGAACTGCAGGCACCTTCAACAGCACAGAGCAGCCCTTTCCAGCAGTCAACAAGCAAACAGAAGTCTCAGCCCCGGAGCACACTGTGAATTTCATATCAAGTGTCTGAACTTAACAAAAACCCCATGCTCCAGAAGGGAAGATGGTCCAGACACCCCTGATTTCAGCCTAGTGGGGCTGAGCAGAGCACAGGCTGTGCAACCACAAAAGTGTAAGCTTGTAAAAGACTAAAGCTGTGACTCACCTGAATGTTACTAAGTATCAGAAAACAATTATACCTACAACTGAAAATATAGTCAAATATGCTGAAGAGGTATACTCAATGCTGAGATTCTTAACCAAGTGTTCACACGGAAAGCAGACACTACAACTAAAATAACAGAGAGGATTAGCAGGCTCCCGTGCAAGAGTGAGCTCTTTAGTTAGAACTTCGCAGAGCAAATGTCTGCCAGATGTACAAACGCCCACCGGATGCAGTGAGAAAAAGAGCAGCAATTCTGCTCATGGTCTCTTCTGAAGCTGTGCCAATTCAACAAGGAAAGCTGCTTAATAATTCCTGTTCCACCAGTTATAGCAAATGATTTGTTAGACAATTAACCCAAATCCAAGCCTGGTTTTAAGATTCCTCTACTATGAAAAGGTCTAATCTTGAAGCCATTCGTATTCCCAGTACCCCAGTCCAAACCCATAACAACTCGGTGAAAATCCTGATCTCTATCTCTGTGTTCATACAAAATGGAAAAAAAAAAACTTTGTTTCCCAGATAATTATCTTCCTCAAAGTCACAATGATCCATAGAGCAACCGCATCTCTTGCTTTTTTATATTTTCTTTTTTAAAACTCTTCAAAAGTAAAGTTGATTGCAATTTCAGGAAACCAAAGAATATGAATACAAACTTGAATTTTTTTCTTTCTTTTCAAAAAAGATTATTTTAAAGTCAAAGGATCATTTTCCAATTATAGGCTCATACATTTAGGAACATTTCCATATCAACCTTTATAGATTTAGATGGAAACAAACAGTAAACTATTTCAAATTGGATGATTCCAAACTGCCATCTGCTGGTTTCATTGAGGAATGACAGTCCAGGAAAACTGACTTCACATAGAAACAGTGAAGCACACGTACACACTGTACAACACAATATACTGAGGCATCACTATCATCACTATAAAGTGATGGTACAAAACCCCAAAGTCTCAGAAAGTAACTTCCTCATGATCTCACTATTCAGTATGTTACTTCTCTGAAATAATAGCTGGCTTATACTTCAGGGTGCTGCCAGTCCAAATCAGGTTTTCTTTTACTGTTGTTGCTAAACACCTGCTTTGTGGTCCTGTCCTAAAAAGACTGAAAGATATTTATAGCGGTAACTATGTCCTCTCTTCATCCTGACTCTGTTTACCTCTTTGCTGTGTCTTTATCATTTGCTTCCCATCCTGCTCTACTATATGAGTATGTATATGTGTATATGCATGTGTATGTGTGTGTGCTTGTGTGGGGGAGGGGCTTGTGTATTTATGTGTGCATGGATGGTGTATGTCTCAGGAACAATTTGAATCTTCACATGTAACAATAAAGCAGTTATAAATAAACCTCTAAACTGAGCTTGAATGAAATAAATATACTCATGATAACTAAATTGAACTTTAAAATGTCGTAAGGCAGCAGGCTCCCACCTGCGTTAAAGAAAGGCCGGTTTGCAGACAAACAATGCACAAAGAATCATAAAGGCATGGCGGAAAAAGTAAATGGTGTGGTTTGGGAATAGAACACCTGCCTTGAATGCTAGAGGCCTGGGTTTCAATTTCAAGCACTATAAGAGGCAAATCAAAACTAAAGAACTGGCATAAAAGGCCTGATGGATGAAAGGGCTCGTTAGAGCAGAGTTCCAGAGGCAAGGCTGTCAAGCTGCTGCCTAGAGAGTGACTCATCTGGTGATGACACACATCCGTGTGATGGTCACTCTCATTCAAAGCCTATTTTCAAGAATATTTTTCTTACAAAGATCTTTATCACATTCCATTCATTTCTGAGAAGCTCTGTCTTAGTCAGGATTTCTATTGCTGTGATGAAACAACATGATCAAAAGCAACTTGGGGAGAAAAAGAGTTTATTTATACACTTCCATATCACAGTTCATCCCTGAGGGAAGTCAGGAGCTGATGAGGAGGCCATGGAGGGTGCTGCTTACGGGCTTGCTTCTCATGGCTTACTCAGCCTGATTTCTTATAGAACCTAGGACCTCCAGCCTACAGTGAGCTGAGCCCTCTCACATCAGTAGCTGCCCTACAGGGCTGCCCACAGCGTGGTCTTACAAAGGCATTTTCTGAACTGAGATACCCTCCTTCCAGATGACTCTAGCTTGTGTTAAGTCAGCATAAAGCTAGCCAACACACTCTGTGAAACCCAAAGTATGATTTCTGATAGATTCATCCCTTATTCTTTTTTCAATCTAAAAGGCTTGGAACCAAAAGAAATTTCTCCCCCCCCCTTTTTTGGGGGGGGGGAGGGATTTGCATACACAGAGAGATATCTTGGGTATGGGACCTAAGCCTGAACACAAAATTCACTTATACTTCACATAGAGTTTATACACCTCAAAAGTCTGAGATGTTGAACTTAGTTTTAAGTTTTGAATACAGGATGATCAGCTGTACCCACTGTGACACCGAGCATAAGGCTTTGCTAAAATTTATCTGGCAGCAAAACTGAGGTGTTTAAAGTTACAGTGCCTTACCTAATGTCTTCATCTGTGACAATGAAAGCTTTGCAGAGGGGTTGGGATGTGTTAAGCCATACAGCAGGGTTCTTCTCCACGGCCGCAGAGACTTGTCCTGTGATTGGTGCAGAGCTTGTGTGCAAAGCACTGGCCACAGCAGACAGAAGGGTCTCGTCATTGCTACCCGGACCGACTCCTGCAATGCGAAAGCAACACTGCTGAAAGGAAAGCATCCCTGTGCCCGGGGGCCGGCCACTGCCTCACAGAACCAGTATGCTTATGCTCATGTACGGTCATACAGGTAAACCTGACACCCGACAGGGCAACAAAGAACAATACCTACCCATTTAACAGCTACTATGCACCAAATGATTGACATTAAACAACGACAAAACAGTTAAGTACTTTAAACAAAACTTCAACTTTAAAACACATTTCCGAAGGCCCTAAACTTCGGAAAAGTTCTGTGCATTTTCTCAAGAAGGGTCAACTATTTAAATACCTTAAAACCCCTATAAAAGCACTATGCTATATTCAAGCATCCCTATTAACATAGCCTAGATCAATTTCTTCCTCTAGCTTTAATATCAATTTCCAAAAGGATCTCTATTCTTATTGGTATCCTGAGACTTCAGGAAATGTCAATGCAAGCATGGCACACCCAAACTTAATCAGTTTTTTCAGATGACCAAAAAAAGTTCAGATTCCTAGAAATAACTGCATACCTTCATGCTTTTAGGAACCTCTCTCCACAGCAAAATTTAAGTAAATAATTTAAAGCAATAATTCCTACAAACACAGAATGAGGTAAGAGCACAACGATCCATTTGGAAGTCTTTTGAGAAATCTACACTAAGTCAAGACTGAGGACTGAAATTCCAGTCCTAGAAAAATAATGCAACTCTTAAATGAGGCATAACCATACGAAATGACAAGTAGACTGGCCACTGAGGCCTCTACCCCAGAATCCACTAGGCAACATCAAGGACCAAAGTGTATATTCCTACTGCAACTTACAGCAGCAGTTTGTAGAGACGTAGGAGGTCTTGCAGTAGTTCTTTTAGTGTAAGAAGATAAGAAAAAGAAAGTGTTGGGGTGGAATGCTGCTATTTGGGAAGCAGGAAACTTGGGGAACCCTTTGTTCATCTGTACTTAAGGCTAAAAGCAGCACACGAGTTAAGGGAGATGACATGGCCAACCTGGAGCCAAACATTTCACACAGAAGAAAAAGAAATCCCAGGTGACATAGTATACAGAAGCATCCTTATGACACGTTAGTCATCTATGCTTTCCCTTGGTTTCTAGCACAAGAGGAATGTCATCCAGCAAAGCACATGTCCCCCAAAGCGAAGGCCTACTGGTTCAGGCCAATTATAGATGCACACTACCTAATTACAGTCCCTGGTACACAGTAGGCACCTAATAAATATCTATTCAACTAAACTTAGATGATACCTTGAAGGCCTTTGGGTAGCTCCATGGTTTTTATAATTTGTTCTGTTACATCTGATGCACTAAGTCCTTGCAGTCTCTTCTCCCAGAAAAGCTGTAAGGCAAAATTCCACCATTAGTAGACACGGAGACATTGATGCTGCTCAACAGCACAGTGTAAGTCATTCCAGTTTTCTGATTTTTTTCCTTACTGCATGCTAAATGAAACTTTAAACAAGAACTCTTTCAGCACATCCTAACTCCTTCTGATGAAATTACTCAAAAAGAGTTGTTTTGATTATGCAAACTCAACTGTTACAATATTACAGGCTGTTGTACATTATAAGCTATACATAATTCTCATAAGGTATCTTCAAAAGAATGTCATAATTTGAATTTTTGAAAATTAATTTATCATAAAATGTCAATGTTAAAATTTACCAGAAAAAGAAAACAAATAACAATATCCAACATCTTTATGGAAACATGATTTTTCTAAAGCATTTAAATGTAGACTTTTAATACACTTAAGGGGAAAAATACTATACTTATTATTAATATAAATTTTTCCCAAATATCTTAATACCAGTCATGAATCACTTTCTCCCTGTCGCATAGGTACCTGAGTCACCAAACCACTCAGTGGTCCCAGAAGACTGTTCTGCCCTTAGTGAGCACTCCCTGCCCCAGGGAGTCGACATACTTTCCAGATTTTATTCTTATGTCTCAATGAATGTGTCCATCCACGTAGCATAGTCTCTAAGTTCCTATCACATACTATGCTTGTCTTCAGATGCATAATCAGCAATGGTTCTTACCCTCTTTCTTTTAAAATCTATATCATATTTACTGCAGACAAGGAGAAACAAAGAATTCTATAGGACTCCCTTCCTTTAATCATAGATAGCAGCACATATTGCATAGTTGCTACTGAAAAACAATTTCTGTAATGAGAAACAATGGAGGCAACAGAATTAAGGTTGTGAAAGACATAGGAGCCCATGTGGAAATTCCAGATCCACCACCTGCGAGGTGGACAGCGCTGGCCATGTTTTACTTCTTCAAAAGCTTTCATTCCCTTTTACAGACGTGGAAGCGATGGCTATCACACAAGATTACTGTGGAGAGTCAGTGAGGTAATATATGTCACGCACCTATAATACAGCAGTCATAAAACTTACTATATTTACTTTGAACAAGATTTAGCTACTTTGAGGGCCTTGGGAAACTTAATAAATAAAGTCAGATAAACCAGAAGATATGATAGTATAATTCTCCTTATGGCAGAATAATAATATGCTGTATTTATAATAACCTCAAAACTAGCAGCAAGAGTAGACTCCAACAGACAGTCATAAAGACCTTTCATGTACACTTATATAGTCATGTGTCTTACATCTTCCCGCAAGTAATAGTCATAGTAGAAAACTTAGCCAATTAAGCAGTCAGTCAATACTTGGGAGATGTAAGTATATTAATCAAGAATTCAGTGAAAGTATGATGATTATCATAAATGTCCCAAGAAATCCTTTCCCCATTCTATTTACACCTTGGTATGAAAATGTTTTTAATAACAAAGTTTTCAATACCACAGTTTTTAATACCAGTTATTCTTTTTAATAATTAAATAAAATCTAGTTAAATTTCTAATTAATATATGCTGAATTTAGAACTGGAAGATTATTGTCAATAAGTGTTTGTCTTGGAATTATGAGGACCTGAGTTCAACTCCCAGAATCCAAGTGAAAAGTCCAAGCATACTGGCATAGGACTGTAATCCTAGCACAGGGGAGGGAGAGAGGCAGATTCTGGGGATCGCTGCCCCATCAGTCAGCGCAGGCCAAATGAAGAGACAGGCCATTAAGAGAATATGTCTCAAAGGAGGTGAATGGCATTCAAGAGGATAAGAGCTGAAGTTGCCTTCTCTGTGTGTGTGTCTCATACACACACACACACAAATATGTGTGTAGAACCCAAAGATACATACGTGTGTATTATGTACACACTATTTTGCCAGTTCATATTCACTGGTCAACTCACTACAGAAAACTGCCTATGTACTAGACATGTGCAAACTCTTTCCCTTGCAATGACTCTCTAAACACTACAGTATAATAACGATCAACTCACATTCACATCATAGTAACCTAGGTATAAGCTAAGGCATAGAGGAGGCTGTGCAAGGCTAATGTGCTGGTATTATACCGTCTTACACTGTATAATACTGCCACATACACAGAAGACTTGGGCATCCTGTGGATTCAGATATTAGAAGGTGGTCCTAGGACTAATCTCCTGTGGAAGAAATGACTCTATAACGTAATTTGTAAAAATAAAATAGCAGTACCAAAAAAAAAAAGTATAGGGACTATAGGTGGTTATGATTCCTAGTATTTTACACCTAAAATTCTAATCCCAGATATTAAAAGATAATTTTTGAATGTATCAATCTTAATTTTAAACTTCTTGTCAATCATAAAGAAAATTATACAAAAAGCTAGAAGAAAATAAAGTATTGGACTGGAACATGGGTACACGTGTCTAGTTTTTATCAGATTGTAAGGTGCTGCAGCAGCTCAGCAAACCGGATGATCTATTTTCACCATCCTTAGGCAGTTTTTAACTCTTAATCCTTGGGGAGAGTAGGGAGGGGAAAGTCATCTTTTGCCTAAATCAGTGGTTCTCAGCCTTCCTAACACTGCAACACTGTAATACATTCAGCTCTCATGTTGTGGTGACCTCCAACCATGAAAATTTCTGTTGCTACTTCATAACTATAATTTTTCTACTTTTAGTAATCATAATGAAAATATCTGCTAAGCAGGACATCTGATATGTGACCTCAGTGAAAGGGCTGTTCAACCCCAAAAGGGGTCATGACCCACAGGTTGAGAACAGCTGGCCTAAATGTTTCTCAAGGTCTTCATGAACTTGAGATGTTTACTAGGAATAGATTATGTTCCTCTGAAGTATTCCTCAGTCAGTCCACGCCCAACAACAGTAATATTCAAACTGGAAGTCTTTCCACATCTGCGAGGTGGCCTAGTTTCCTTTCTGTGCTGTGAGAAAATACCCCGACAAAAGAAATTTGAAGAGAGAGAGGGTTTATTCAGCCTACAATTCCAGGTTACCATTCTTCATTTTACGGGAAGTCAAGGCAGGCAAGGCAGAAACTTGAGCCATTACTCATTCAATGAAGAACAGAGAGTGCATGCATGCGGACCTCTAGGGTTCCACTTACTTGCTTGGTTTTTGGTTTGGTCTGGTTTTGCTTTTGCTTTTCAAGACAGGGTTTCTCATATACAGCGCTGGCTGCCCTGGAACTTGCTTGGTAGAATTCTGGCCTCCAATTCACTGAGATCTGCCTGCCTCTGCCTCCCAAGTGCTGGAATTAAAGGAGTGTGCTACCATTGCACAGCTGCCTTCTCCACTCTTACTATAGTTCAGAACCCTCAAGCCAAAGGAATGGTACTGCCCACAGTGAGCTACACACACGTCAATTATCATGATCAGGACGATCCTCCACAGATACGTACACAAAGATAATCTGGACAACCAGACATTAGATAACATTCTTGGAAACTCTCTTCCCCAGGGATTCTAGACTGTTTCAAGTTCACAAAACTATCACAGAGTTCCCATTTCACCATAACTGCCTAGACTCTCTCAGTACATTTTGTAAATACTAACATTGTAACTAATTCTAACATGAAAATCTGATTTTACCCGCTTAATTCAATGATTTTCTCAACTTAATCTTGCTGCCTGCTCTGATACCTAATGCTCAATAAATATAATACTTAAGAGAAACATTGATTTAATAATTGGATCAAGTCCCAAAATCAATACACTAAGAATCTTTCTAATCCTTACCAACAAAATCCCTATGTGCCTCTAAATTCTTCTTGTCACACTCCAGAACACTAGAAAAATCAGATAGCTCCCAAGTGAACATCACTTTTTATTGCCCATGGTCTCAGCAATGGCCTGTCAAGTAAACTACCTGACTGTGGGAAAAATATCAGGTGGGATTAAACATTACTTGTGTATAAGCACCAAGCACATAAAACGTTGGCAATGGACAATGCTGGAAGAGCATTCTGGTCAGTACGAGGCTGACACCTCACTGCTCCTTCTCTAGGGTCTTGGTTTAGTACGTACATCAGAGCATTATCTAGCACAACTGCCTACACTTTATCTACCCTGGCCTCCCAAAGAGGCAAATAGGATGGTGTGTCACCAAAGCCATTTCTTTTATGAGACAAACCACCAAATATGTCAACTGTAAGTAAAACTAATCCCAAACATAGCATCTTTGTTTTTTAACTGCTGAGGTTTAATTTGGACTTTGGGAATATATTAATTTGTCTTTTGAAAAGCATCATTAAACCTGTCACCACCCTGAGAGCATTAACTCACTCTGTGAACACATCTATATTCTGAGAAAGTCAGGTGCATGGTAAGGCGGTGAGTCCTGCGTGGATGAGTGTTGCTGCCATCAACAGGGCCAACATACTAACCTCAACATTAGAGAACTGGGGAAGAAGAGGTAGCTCTAGAAAATGTACAGGGATATTCTATAAGTACACAGAAATGGAAAATAATGTCTACCCAAAGAAGTAGCTTAAGCAGTAACCAGCATTCCTTAGTTTTACACAGAGTAGTCAAAGCGGGTTATCTCAACTGTATATCCTGAAGCCTGACTCGCAGAAACTCTACAGAACTGTGTTTCAGCAATCAATTGTTGGTTTTGGTTTTTTTTCTAAGACTGTTAGGTGATTCTGATGTAGGCATAAGAAGCCTAGTTTAAGCTGTGGCGAGAGAATGGCATTATCCACAGAGTGGTGGTATCCTGCCAACACCACAACTGCACATTTTAGCTCCAACTATGCCTGAAGATAGAAAGTATGGATTATCCTCCATACCTCAGAGTCTAGATGACAATAATGGTCTCCTCCCATTTTATTTCACTGTAGGAAGATATGTTAACGTAGTCAAATTTTACTGATTGTATAAGGAAAGGGCTCGCCCAAAGTTCAGCTGTGCAGCACAACCATCCTCAGCCACAGGACCTCAGTGGCATGGGGGGAGCAGCTACCGCTGACAACCACCACT